ATACAGGGTGTATAAAAAAAAGGTAATCGAACTTCAGCGCGCTATTGTATCTGAATTACTCTGCGTATGAACGAGATTTTTTCACATTCGGAAAGACCGTGCTTTTAGCTGTTGAATGATATCTTCTGCGTGCCAAATGGATAAAAAATGAGCAAATACGAATCCGATAAAAAATGTTAGTCAGAATCGCATATTTTCACCGTCGAGACTTGGATCTAAAACCCATTGAAAATGAACCACCTTTAGGACTTAAGTTGATGAATTTCACTTCATTAAACCGCACACATATTCATAATTATTATTAAGTAGGAATAAATCTTAGCTAAGCTACGACACGTTTGTGATTAATTGCTTTTTCTTTTGTTATGCATTGTTTTAATTAGGCACAGAGGTGAAAATATGCAATTTTGACTAACATTTTTAATCGGCCTCGTACATGCTTATTTTTTCTCCACTTGGCATGAAAAGCCTGATCTTTCCGAATATGAAAACCAATTGTTCATACGCCAAGTAATTCACGTATAATAGCGCGCTGAAGTTCGATTACCTTTTTTTTTATACACCCTGTATAGTTACTATTCTCCATATTTTTGTTCAGTGTAATTATCTATGTAAGTTATGTACTATATTGTCAAGTTATCTACGTGCCAAATTAAAGCTGTTAAATAAAATGAATAAATAAATAAATTATTATTCAGCTCACTCCCCATTGGGGTTTTTCAGTGACCGACGACTTTCGGCAGATCGACAGAGCGCTGACAGACTTTTTCACTTGAGTCCGTAGCAAGAATCAAACCCACGATCTCAGAGGTGAAAGGCGCTTGCTCTGCATGACGACTGCTATATTTAATGAATTAGAATATACTAATCACCTAATAATGAAGGATATTTTTCATTAGAATATCCAATCATTCAAAAATCACACATCATCTAGATTGACACGAAGACTTTTATATCTTTTAGACAAAAGATGAAAGTAACATTTAAAGGCTAGAAGATTTCAATATACCATCGAACAGTACCCTCCAGCTCATAGTTATACTTTGTGATGTTTCTGACGATCTAGATGAGCTTGTTTTCGACTTTTGTTGGGGATTGCCAAGAAGGCAACAGAAAGACTACTTGGATGTTTCCGTTTTTGTTTATAGCGGTGAATCAAATGTTGGCACAATATATTTTAGAAACCGTTCAATATATGATTGCCCTGGCGTTAGACACTCTGGTCCTGCTGATATGGATTACACAAAAGGAGAGGGTCATCATAGGGTAGATATATCTCTAAAATCAGTTCCTCGACACATTGATAAAATTGTGTTCACTTTGAGTGCCTGGCGTTCATCTAGTGTCTCGGCATATCGCTTCCGCAGACTTCGTTTCTATGATGTTGATTTTCCTGATCAGGAACTTTGTAGCGACGATATAAGCGGTCTTGTGCACAATGAATCGATCATAATGTGTTGCCTGCCAAGAAAACAAGGTAAATGGAGTGTATTTAGTCTTAAACGTGGCGCTGAGGGATGCACTAAGAATTTCGCACCATGGCCACTTCGTGAAAAAATTCAGGAACTTATACAAAGGAAAACGATACCATAATATTACTAACTTTAGATTGCGCCTGAACTGCATTGTATACCAAATAACTGAACTGAGGAGTTTATTAAATAAACCTCGCGTTAGTAAATAATCATGTGAAAAGAACTATCATAGCAATGTTAATGAAAATCACTACGTCCTCATGTATTTAAAGGTCTTGCACAGTAAGTAGCAGGCATTATACGAATGAAAAATGGCCAGTGCTCTCCAATGCCATTGGTGAGATAATATGGCATATCTACGGCACTCAAAGACTGCATGCGCGTAAGTATAGAATGTATATAAGGGCAATCAAATTGTTAATTGATATATACTAAATATACTAAATATATATATATATATATATATATATATATATATATATATATATATATATATATATATATATATATATATATATATATATATATATATATATATATATATTT